TCACTGGTGAATATCTTCTGGTTTATTGACTGCAGGGAAAAGCTTGAAGCCATCAGTGTAATGAAGTCAGCACAAATATCCATTTACAGACCGGTGAGGTTGGACACAATCTGCAAACAATAAGTATAAGCCCATAAACCAATAGGTCCGTGGGTGAGAACCGCCCATAAGCAGCGTCTCCTGATGGAGGAGGTGTAACCGCGGACATTAAATGAGAAAACAATGATCTGAAAAGCACCTGCGTGAGGAGATTTACAGCATAAAAACAACAATATATTACATTGTATAAGACCTCAGTTGAGGATTCAACCACACCAACAACATAGAAACACTGAATTAAAGCTGCAAGCAGCGATCGGGTCCTTGCAGTCGGCCCACCTGTGACGTCCCTGTCTCAGGTATGTGACCTTCTTGAGCCCTCAGGCGATGTAACAACCATATTTACACTAAACACACACATATAGGTCAAAACTGGCTCCAACACAAGGTTTTCTTCCTGTTTCCAGATAATATACACTCAGGTTATTGTTCGGGTCCTTTTTATGGCGAAATGCTTCTTTTCGATGACACAGACCCAAAGTTTTGATAACTTTTGAACTTCTTTAGAAATTAGAGACCAAATTTGAAGTCAGTCTGATCAAATGACTTCAGTGTGTCAACTTGTGTGTCACCATGGGGATGACTGACCTGCAGCCACACAGTCATTCCCTCCTTCTTCTTTGGGTTAGGAAGACTAGATGCTACGATGGTGTATTGTTGCCTTACTGTTTATTAATATTCTTTTCAGAATCAGAAATACTTTATTGGAGATATTTGTTATTTCACAGCGACAAACCAGACCAAATCTCCCTCCACTAGCATTTTTAAAAAGGGTGCAGCTTAAATAAAATACTGCTAAACAAAAATATAACAAGTGGGATAAAAAGAAAGTAAAAAACTACAGATATTCCATCAGTTCCTTCATTTTAATGTAGTTATTAAGTTCCTCCAGCTGCTCCCAGGTCTGTGAACAGCCTTTCTTTTTTAATCATACTGTAATGTGTAATGTCATTTTCTTTCCCTTTTAAAATGGATCGTTCAGAAACCGCCATCAGTGTATCGATATAGAACCGTTTCCAGCCCTCACTCGCTCATCCACTGTAAAGCCTGCAGCACTGATCGCACACACACTAACTGGGTTAAGAGCTCGTGTCTTGGATGTCCGTGTAAACACATTCATTATATCTGCAGTAGCACCGTCTCTCCTCCACTGAGCCTGGTATCTAATACGAGTTTCCAAGGCCTCGCTCCGGCCCCCCTTCCTCCTCAGATTGTCAGTCAGGCCCTACGTTTAGTGATCAGCCCTTTCTCTCCTTCATCCTTCCATTCATCCGCTCTTTGTTATGTTGTTTCCCCCGACACGCCCTTCCTGTCTGGGGGAAGCTGGCGATTGCTAATGTTATTAAGGAAAAGCCCTCCTGACAGCTATAACTCATAGCTTACTGGACCTGTTGGTTCAGTCGGCCTCCGTCAGCAACCACTCTGTCCGTGTTTGTGGTCAGAGCCCGCACCTGTGAGCAGCCTGAACAATCTGACTGCTTTAAAGGCTTTTTGTTTTTATTGTGTGGCCAATAAACCTGTTTAACCCGACATTGTTCGGAGCAGAAAGAGTCCGACTGTACTGTTTACTGAATAATAAATGGTGTAAGATTGTGAATGCGACTCTGAAAAAGCTTTACAACTCCTGTTTTTCAGCAGTTTGTTCTTTTCTAATCTCTTCAACATGTTCCAGCAGCGTTCTTCCTCTACGCTGATCGGCCGAGGGTGTGTTCAGGGTGTGTTATTGTTCACACACACACACACACACACACACACACACATACATACGCACACATAGGGAAGGAATTTTTATCACCAGAACTTTACAAGTCCTGGTTGTGAGATATTTGGCATTTTGACAGCATTGATAATAGATACAGTCACAGGTAGACGAGAGAGGGATTACATAACACAGAGGATGGTGCAGTTACATGTTATACACACATAGATGCCTAGGGCTGTGCTGTATGGCCACGTTTTATATCCCAATAAGTAAGAGATAAGATATGTATCACAATATAGCACATTTATCTGTAAATATAAAAGGTACTAACTTATATTTGTAGGGCTGACCCTGACTGAAGATTGTCCTGGTGGACTAGTCGTTAGATAAAGCTAATAGTCGACTAGTCCTCACATATTTATGATATTAATTTAATTATTTAAATATATATATTTGAACAGCCACCTCTTAAACAATAATGGAGAAGCAGTAATGATTGAATGTGTCAGAACAACCAACAAGGTGACTGAACATCACACAGTCTGGTTGTTCAACACACGGAATAAATAACTAATAAAAAACTAATCCTGTTGGACTGATCGATTCGATGGATGATGGATAACGTTAACAGTTACTGACTAATTAACTGGCTACAAACTGGCTCCTCTTCCTCCGTTTCATTCGTCTCCTGTCGCTGCCTGAACCCGCCGGGTCTTCATCCCCAGAGTCAGAGTCCTGGTCGGAGCCGCTGGACATCAGCCAGCCTCCGTCGGTCCGCTTCGCTCCGGTTCTGTGGCTCATTCGGAAGCTCAGCTCTTCTCTTCACACTTAATACCTTAATACACGTGGTACATTTATTTCTGGGCCACAGATCGTAGTATGTTTTATTAATAAAAGAATCATCAAGGCTCCTGAGCAATAGATGTTGTATTGATCTACTGCTGCTCCTGTAGTGAATGAATGACTCACTGATGAGTTCAGTTACTATCAAACATCTCTCTCTCTGTGGCTTATTCTGTAAGGAGGATCTACTCATCTGGATAAAGTAGCTGTTAAATTGATCCCGAGACCAACAGATCAGTGCAGTATGTGGAGGGTGCAGATATTTAAAGAGCGCCTGTCAATGGCTGATATATTATACCGATATTGAAACAAAGAACAGTTATGTATCGGAGATTCAGACATAAGTTCACAGCAGGATGCAGGAGAATTATAGTACAAGACTCCAAACCAACTTTCTGACCTTGTCCTGGAAAATCTGGAAAACCTGGACATTTAGAGACAAGTTGTTCAGTCACGGAAACACCTGGAAATTGATTCAAATGGCCAGATCCTGGAAATAACCTCTTTCGTCCTGGAAAATAATAATTGTATTAATTCACATAGATTGCCTGAACCTGGGTGAAGCTCCACTGTTGGTAGGATAAACTGCCTGCTGGGTTTACCAGATGCTCCCTGAGGCCTTCAGAGGATCAGTTGTCCTTGTGAGCGCAACCATCGGCCCGATTAATCGGCCCGTCTCTGCTCTGAGGGGGTTTGTTTGTTGTTGTCAGTGGAAGCGGGACTCTGTCTGTATTTAAGGGAAAGTGCTGTGACCCTGTGATCCTTGAGAAGAGGATGAACTTGAGTACAAGTGTTCAATGCCGTTCTCACTGTTCTCCGTTTTCCTGTCAGGAAAAGGCTTCAGCTGACGAACGACATCCCGCTCTGTTGATCCCCGTCCTCTCACTCCAGATCTATCACAGTCACACTCTTCTCTCGGCCTCATTGTCCCTCCTGCACTCTTTTTGCGGCACTCTTGTATCTCTGCTCTCACACGCACAAAGAAAACAAGGAGAGCATTCATGGAGCTCTAAGAATGAGAACTCTGATCTGCTGTCCCTCCTGCTCCTATAAACATCACTAGCGAGGAGCCGCTCTTCCTGCTCTAGGAACCTGGGTGATTACAGAGCCAGGTGTATCACATTTCTCTGTCCAGCCCTCAGGCAAACATCTGAGGACGGACGGATTTGCTATTGTTTTCTCTCCCTATATAGGCCAGGGTTATCGGTTCATGTGCAGACGTGCCTCTGTGTGCTTCTGAGACAGTACGTCCTCTGTACCGGCCTCATTAAAAGAGTCACGGTTCAGTAGACAGCAAACACACACTCAACCACCCACCTACCCGCCCATCTCCGTCTCTGTCCCCCCAGCTCTGGTCTCCATTAACTCATCCCATCACCTTTCATTATCCGGCTGCTCGGGATGCAGCGCTAGGTGGGAATGTTGTTCCACCTCTCCGATCTGTACGAGCAGCAGAGGTAATAACAGAGCCAAATCAGCGTCTGTGTAGAAAGGGCGAGCCGGCAGGACGGGACACATCACGCTAAACGCTGTCGTTACAAGCAACGAACAGCCGCTCCCGCCTGTCGTCCATATTTTACATTTTTCCCTTCTTTTATCACATTTACCTCAAAACGGCTTCAAAAAGTGTCAAATCACAATCAAAAACACAATTCTGCGGCTTAAAGCTACAATCTGTAACATGTCCTCATTAAACAGTGTATAAACTCTATGTTCTATATATAGTTGAGTTCTTGCATTATCCCAAATGTTTCCAACAATGTTCAAACTCAGAGAAATCTGTCATTTTATTCAGGTAACGCTGCGTTTCACCGGTCGTCAGCGTTGTGGTTGTCTGCCAGAAGCTGTCATACATTGACTGTTGATCCAGTCTGAAGCCACATTGTTACCATCCACTGTTTAGATCTTGGTGCTTTTTAACTCTAGATTTGAACCGGATGAAGGATTTTAGTCATCGGACGTCTGGATCTTAAGTTATCAGAGAAACAAGCTGAGCTAACGTTAGCAGCAGCTCGGCTCGCAGCCCCTCCGGGACGTCCTTTGTCTGTCCAACAGCGTGGGAGAAGCAGTGATTTTTATTTGATTTTAGTGTCTTATTAGTGTGAGAGCAGCACATCAGGGTACTTTGGCCTTTGTGTCAAGCCCCAGTTTGACTGGCGGTATACGTCTTATCCTCTATCCAGGCGGCCTAAAGCCACAGATCTCTTTGTTGTCCTTCCCTTCGCTCTTTGGGGAAGTAAAGAAGAATCGGACACTTGGATGTTTTGTTGAATAGCAGCTTTTACAGCGTGTTTCACCCACAAGGGGGCGTGGTCGTCCTCTCATGTACTGATTGGTTATTCTTGTCTCCCTCCAGGTGCAGCAGAAGCAGAGTAACGGCGGTGAAGAGGAGGGGAGGGATGCGGAGACTCCGGTCCGAGAGACTGACAGTCAGTATGGGACCTGGGAGACGGGACTGCGCACTGACGACAGGTAAACACACTCACTTATCTTTAGTTTTATTCTAATGGATTTGTAAAGCACGTTGTAACCTTTTATGATAATTTGAAGTTTTATTGCGTTTTCTAAGAACATCCAAACAAACAGGAACAAAAAATAAGTTAATTGGACCAAAAGAAGCTCCAGTACTCAGAACTGGTGAGTGCAGAGTTCCCACACATCCTGGAAAACCTGGAAATTTAGAGGCTCGTTTTCCAGTCGTGGAAAATGACCAAATATCCTGGATGTGAAGTGGCAACAATCTTTTCCTGTCAGTGGAAGTGCTGCTGTTGGTTTTATCTCCATACAGACAGCCTATAAAGGATCCGATTGGTTGCTGTGGTTGATGAATACATGCACAGTGATGTTAACTGTACTTTAATAAAGTAAATTCTACTTCATTGGAAGTGAAGTAAAACTGCAGCAAACTCCTGGAAAATGATTTCTTAAAAAGAGTGGGAGCTTTCTAACACAGACAGTCCGTCACTGACCTCCTGTGGTCAGAAACTAATATCACAACATGAAGCTGGTGAGAATGGATGATATTAAATTCTGATTTGTTTGAATGAGTTGTGTTTATGTCATGGTGACAGCAGACGCCTGCAGTCATATAAATCAGCTGACTCACACTGATTAAACTCTTTAACATGTTCCAGCCTCACTCCCGCCACTCCCAGCTCCGACAGCAATCTGAGCCCTTCACCACGGAAGCCCACGCCTCCCCACACGCCAGGCGATCACGCCTCGCAGTTCGATACCGACACCCTGGATGGCCTCCAGCCGTCGTCCGACAGCCAGCCGCTCTCTTTCCCCGATGTGAGTGAACGCAGCTCAATATGTCTGACTGTGTTCTGCTGTGTTTACGCTCTTGCTGATGTGTTCTCGTGTGTTTGTGTCCAGGCCCCCGCCGTCCTGTTGGACACCAGCGCTCTTCGCTCCAGAGCCCAGCTGGGGAAGAAGCGAGCCCCGCGGACACGGCCCTCCAGAGCGGCCCGCCAGAGCGCCGCGCTGGGAGAGGGAGAGGGAGGAGCCAACGAGGACTGGCTTTACCGAGACTCCACAGGTGAGCACCGGACACAAGCTCCTCCTTCAATAATGTTCCGTTGCTCCTGCAGCTCTAACGCCACTGTGTGCTCCTCCTGTGACAGAAGCGAAGGTGGAGAGTAAAGACGATGAGTCCGACTCCGAGGAGCAGACCAGAGGAGCTGACGCCGGCCCCGCTGTCTCCTCTCAGCCTCAGAGGGTCGCCCTGTTCCCGGGGATGGACCCTTCGGCTTTAAAGGTGATTAAAGCAGCTCTGTGTAACGCCGTGTGTCAGTTACTGCTCGTTGTTGTATATTGTAGAGTTTAAAGTCAGGGAGGGTAACGTTACAATAATTATAATGATTGTATTTATGTAGCACCTTTCTTAACAATGTTATTATTCTTAAAACCATGTAAAGCAGATACACTGAGAATAAAGACTATAAGATATAAGAGTTTGAAAAATGGAAGTAAAATAATTATAAATAAAATAAGATAAAGATTTTGGAGCTTATCTTGAACTGAAAGAAACATAATTTAACAACATTTCAATCATCAGAACAGCTTCAGATATTTCCTCTAGATCTCTTCCTGTTTAATATGATCTGTCAGACAGAAGATTAGCACAAAGAGAGCCCATAATGATGTTTTTCTTTCCTTTTTTATTTGATTTAATTGCTGCATTTCAACAAATATAACTAAAAATGCTTCTGAACTATTACAGACTCCAGCTTTAATGCATTATTATTATTATCTTTATTATTCTTCTCATCCTAAATGTTGCAGCAACAAAAATAAATAAGAAAAAAAACAAGAGAAGTTAAATAAAAAGCAGTAAATAGTACTAAAGAAGCTACAATACAATAATAATAGATGCTATGATCTAAATAAAGTGCTGGTCTGGAGCTCGAGGCTGTGGGTCTGTGGATGAGGGTCTCTGATGATGGAGGGAAACAGTTCCTGATGCAGGCCGTGGTTTTTATGATCTGTGTATTTATTCTGTCTCCTCGCTGTTGTCAGGCTCAGCTGAAGAAGAGGGCCGACTCTGACAATCAAGTGGACGGACCTGCTCCCTCTTCATCGCAGCTCTCTCGCTCTCCCAAGTCCCCGTTCCTCCCCAGGGCAGCGCGCGTACTGCCCCCTCCTGGTGGGAAAGAGAACGGGTAAGAGAGGTTAACAGAGGGTCGGGGGGGGGTGCTCGGATTTACTGAACAATAAAGAAGTGTTTGTAGGTTGAAGAGAATCAGTAAAGAGTCTCAGTGATGGTGTGAATAAAGTTTATACTGTGGAAGAATGTGATCCTACCTTAAAACAGCTGTTTTTATAATGGAGTTTGGTTTGACAGCGTGTTGTCCCCTCTTTCTCTCTCCCTCTCTCTCTTTTCCTGTCACTCTAAAGGCAATAAAAGCCCAAAATAAATATTAAACACAAACAGAACAATGCTTAACATCCATTAAAAAGAGCAACCCTTGTGTGAACTCAGTCTGTCTGTTGCAGTGAGGAAGACTCCCCCCAGTGGCTGAAAGAGCTGAAGAACAAGAAGCGCTTGAGTCAGTATGAACAAGAGAGCTAAAGTAAATAATGAGGTGAGTTTGTTCTTCCATCTTTTCTCTCTCTCTGTGTATTTATCCCGTTCTCTGACCCTGTCGTCCTCCCGCAGGTTGCCTTAACAGATGAGTCTCTATGAAACAGAAGCCTTAACGTTGACCCAGAGCGGAGGAGAGGAGGATCTACAGCTGCTGATGTTTTCTTTTCTATTCGTCTTTGTTCTTTTGTTCTCTTCCCATCTGGGTTGATAAATGTGCATGGTGCCTTTTTTTTTTTTACGGAGAGTCTCTATCTTAAAACGAAGCGAGGAGGAGGAGAAAAAAAAAAACCATCAGGCCTTGCTCTGCTTTATTCATTTCACGCTGGAGGAATCTCCTCTGGACTTTATCGGGGACCAGGAGAGGAAGCGGAGGAAAAGGGGGAATTACTTCTGTCGGGCCGCATTTCAGGAAACTTGTGGGACCACTCTTCATCGCGGACGATCCTCTGCGAGGTGTCTGCGCGGGACGGACGGCGTGTTATCGTGTTATAGAACGACATTTCAGACACTTTATGATCTCGAACGTAGAGAAGAAATCACTGCTGACTCGATGAATCATGTTTAGTAATCAGAAGTTATATTTGTATTATCGTTGATTTAACAGAGAGCTAGTTTTTGAAAAGGTGCATCACTACAATAGAGCCTTTTTCCTTTGATACACTCCGCCACCCTAACAGTGTCACAGTGTCTGCACACGAGGGCTGCACCCGACCCCATTGTGTCAGTCCAATCTCTCTTCAGTTGAGCGACACACTACAGTCCGATATCAGCGGCTACATGAGTCTCATGTTTCAGCTTACAACCCGTTTTAAAGTAACTTAAACTACACAAAACCTTCCTGCACTGTCTTCCTGAGGCCATTGTAAAGCTACAGTAAACATGCTGGTATCATATGAGACTGGATGACCTAATGCATCCATTGCTACCAATCCTGTTGTGCTAGTTTTGTTGAGAAGAGGGCGAAATAATGCTCCAAAGTTTGGTGACATGGCCATTTTCAAAGAGATCTCTCTGACCTTTGACCTCAAGATATCTGAATGGGCTCTATATGCACACAGGATCTGATATTCCAGATAAACAGTAAAATGTGTTTGTGAACAGATTTGAGGAGAGAAACAGTCAACAACAGAATCTGGATCCATATCTGATCAGCACTGTTTGACAGTTTGATCTGAGTTTGGTTGAGCTGGACGGACTCACTGAGAATGAGCTGTCAATCACAAGGTAGCCCCGCCCTAAAGCATACCCTGCTTTATGGTCTGTTTTACTCTAAATGGGACCATCAGTTACTAAATGAACATCATGCTGTATGGAAGAAGACTGAAACTAGAGACTGAGACCAGAAACTCATCAGGAAACTGTTTACTGAGCTCATAAATCAACTGAGAAGTCGACTCATTTCTCCATAAGACTGAATGGTATCAGTTTATATTGCAACCAGAGTTATATAGAAGTTAAAGACACTACTGTCAATGGATTCGACTGACAGAATTTGACTGGACTGATCGGCTCTTCGGGTTCAGCCCTTCTGCAGAACACTGTCTTGTCTTTTTTTTGTCTCAATGTGTTTGTCTTTGCGGGAGAGGGGGGGGGACTTTACGGCCAAGTGACTTTTTGCATCTGTCAATCAAAACTCCTTATCAGCACAAATACTTTAAACACTAGTTACTGATGAACTCCTCCCTCCATTCACACACTCAATGATTGTAGCTGGAAGCATCCATTATAAGCCATACTCACACTCCTCCCAGGGAATGTGCAATTTCCCTCCATGTCTGTCCCCACCGATGTGCACAATCTCTGCCGCCGCCGCCGGGGGGTTCGTGAGGTTCCTCCACCTCGCTGCTTCCTCCAACCGAGCTGTAATCCTCCTGCTGGTGTCTGCCATCCGCTCCGCTCACTCTGCGCTTATATAAAGCACTTTGATGCACTACAGCACTGACCTCCGCCCCCTCCTGTCGGCCTCCACCGTGGCGTCGGAGCGATCGTGCAATGGAAGTGAATGTTGGTCGGAGCGATTGTCCCTGGTTTCTGTGTACGTGACGATTGTCATGAAATGTGAGGGTTTATTTTTTATGTGCTTCTTTGTCCTTTTTTTTTTTTTTTATTTGAGAGTAAAGATGTATATTGCACTGTGTTGTACTGGCCAGTGTCCTAAAGTGAATACATTCTTAATAAAATTTACTTGACATGAGCTGCTTTATCCACCGTTTCTCTGAGTTGAACATTAAAAAAACATATTTCTGTGGTCGATTAAAACTATTTGAATCAAAAATAAAAGTATGGCTGAGTTTAATTAGATAGTTTGAGATGAAATCTGCTGCAGAAGGAAACATTTGATCTGAAGCTACAACGATTAATCGATCAGTTATCCCTTTTTATCAGGACAATAACATTTAACTGTCAAGTTTAATATAATAAAACAAACAAAAAAAATACATTTTACATATATATGTAAATTATTGTTTTTTTCATTTATAATATTGATAATGTATATTTGATAAAAATAAAGGAAATTTAATAAAATTATATATAAAATGTATTATTTTTATAATTTATTATTTGTATTAAGTATTATAATAAAACAAAAACAAAACCGTTTTTCAATCAGATTAAAAAAAAGTGCCTAAATTTGATGAATATTTCGTATTAAATGGATCAATAAAATTAAAATTAGAGAACATCTGTACAATGAACACAAACAGTGAACTCAGTAACTACAGAGATTCAGATTCGGGACAGGAATGTGTGTTTTTACGTTGTTCTCAATGTACAAACTCAAACTAACAGCATAAATAAACAGAACAAGTTCCACAAAATAGACATAGACTGAAATATACAGTTATACATATATAAACATACATTTATAGACAGTAAACATACGTGCAGGTGTCTTTAAATACTATTTATGTTTTACTAAATTCCAACAATAGATAAATAAGTAATAGTCTCCAGGTTCAGTGGATGTTAGAGTCCGAGGGTTGTTGTACAGGGCAGTTAACTGTTGGTCAGAGTGATGGATTGTGGGTAGAAACTGTTCCTGTGCTCTGTGGCGCCAACCAGAGGGGAAGAGCTGGAACAGCTTGTGTTCAGGGTCAGATGGATCTGCAGTGATGTTTCCTGACTCTGGACCAGTACAGGTTCTGAATGGAGGCCAGGTTGGCTCCAATAATCCTCTCTTCTTGTCTTCAAAGTTTAGATCCTAAATAATAATCTAAACTTCAAAAAAATAATTTAATTTAGTTTCCTTCACAGAAAAGAACCAAACACAGAGATATGGGTTTATTGTGCACATTTTTATCTTACACCGTAAAATCAAGAAGGCCTCCCGACCCTCTGTGAAGCTTCGGTGACCTCTTGTTGCGGCCCCGACCCCCAGCAGGTTGGGAACCGCTCTCTGTGACAGTAAACTGAATCTATTTGGCTTGTTAACAAAATGAGTCATTTGAGGACGTCGGTTTTGGTTTTGGGAAACACTTTTCACCATTTTCTGACATTTTCTGACATTTTCTGGACCAACTACTCGACTGAAAGCGGCCGTCAGCTGCAGCCCTGCTGTGATCTTGCTGAACTCAGATTCAGGAGGAAGGTGTGAGGAAGTTTGGTGAGACTGTGTTTGTGTGTTTGTGCTGAGCGAGGCTGTTTGCTGAATCCTCTTGGCTCCCTCTCCCTGTGCCCGCACACAGTGCTCGCTGGCAGCCGGGCGGACGGGCAGGGCAGTGTGTGCCAACACAGCTGCCTATTGAGAGGCAGCGTTACGGACACAATGTGAGCGACAGACTTGCTGTATCAACAGCTCCCCCTTTTTCTGCTGTTGTGGCCAGAAATAAACCATAAATACCCCCCCTGTCCCTGCCCTCTAATGGCTCAACCCCACCGAACACCAAGTGGCACCAAGAGAGAGGGACACTACCACTTCCTAGCAGGCATACGCAGGTAAAACGCTCTCTCTGGATCAATAACTCTACGGAGTGAGGACCCAGGTTTGGAGGAGTTTGACCTCACGGATAAAGGATCTTCTGTATCATGTTCAGCTGATATAATAACAGAATATTTTAGCCCAAAATGAAACCAAATCTTCTGTGACACTGAGTTTTTTCCCTCCTGTGTGTGTGAGCAGTGGATCAGGAGGATGTCGGAGCAGCAGAGCGCCCCAGAGCAGCTGGCTGCTGGGAAGAGTCAGGGTGGAGCTGGAGCCACATATAAGGTACTGGAACAAGCTTCACACACACCTGGAGTCCAGTACAACCACAAAGCCCTGCTACTGGTCTGAAACCTGTAGAAATGTTCTTTATTTGTGCATAAAGTAAAATAAAAACATTAGATAATACACAGATGGGATGAAAACACCCCTTGAGGGTTTGTAAAAATGCCTAACAAACATTGAAATTGAAGAAATATGCTTGCCACAAATTTACAGATAGATGTAAATACTTTTTAAAATATCTGAAAATACAAAAAAGTATAAAAGGAAGAAGAAAAAGACATAAAAACAAGGATTACACTGCTTTCATACACTGCATCGTACCTCATTTATACGGTAAATCACTGTGAAATCTCCTTTAACAAGGAGATATTCAGTGCCAACCACTGTAAAATCAGTGTTAAATCAGAGTAAAGTCAGTGTAAAGTCACTGTATTGCTGAACTGTTTCCTGCGTCTGTTATCCAGGTGGTGCTGTTTGAGTTCGAGAACTTCCAGGGCTGCAAGGCGGATTTCTCTGGAGAGTGTAAAGATGTGACGGAGAAAGGACTGGAGAAGGTCGGATCACTGATAGTCGAGTCTGGACCGTAAGTTTCGCTCTCTCAGAGGTTGTTTGATTGGATTTATGGATATATAGACCGCAAACAATAACTTTATTTCCAACACGATGTCAGACAATCACACGTTACAGGTACAGAATCCCTAAAACAAATACATTTATATATATTTTAAATTAAATTGATTAATTGAACATATAATACTATCAAAATACATACGTTTCAATATCAAGCTGCTATAAAGTCACTTTCATTAACGTAGCATGCACATAAATCCATGATTAGTTAGGAGCTTAGATACAGGGCGGAGGTCAGGTGAATGGTTAAAAATCACTGGGATTGTGGATCCGAACAGGAACTATTAGGAAGAGAAGTGTGGACTAGGAGAACCTCTTTTCCACCAGATTAGCAGCAGTCATCAGTAAATAAACCTGCCACAACTTTCTGTAGCTCGATCAATCATAACAGTGGAGAAATAAAGCAGAGAGCTTTCTCCATCCCCAAGTACCAAGGCCACGAATAGGAGCGGGACCCAGACCTAAATGACTGAGAATTATTCAGCTTTAACAGAGAGTTTATATTTATTTCATCACTATCCTCACTGAACAAGTAAAAGTGGGATAATAGAGGGAAAGATGGAGTAAAGGAGGTGTTAAACCTTTTTCACAGAAGAAGAGTAAACACAGCTGTTACAATGATACTAACTGGTCTGTTGTTGAGATGTGCTGAGATTGTTAAATATAGAATTGATTGAGACTGTTCAGACATTAAGCATTTTATTTTAAGATGAACATTTTGTAAAACAAAATAAATATAATTAAATCTGCCAGTTGGGTAAAACTATTTTACTTAAAATAAATAAAACTAAATAAAACTATCATAAAAAATCAGTCACTGAAAGACTGTAATGGTAAAATAAGCAAGTTGTGTTTATTACAAGCAATAAAAACTCCTTAAAGATTCCTAAAATAAGTATTTTGGTCACTTTATTGAGCTGAATGTAAGAATTTGTACCTTTAATCTAAAATCTTACAATAAGACACACTTTCTTCAAACAGAATAATAAAAATAAGTGACTTTGTCTTAAATTAAAGCACCTGAAGCTTCTTATTTTTATCATTTTAAACAATGTAAAACTAAACAGCTGCTTCATTTCTAACACCGAGTGCTCTTATTCTGAAAATTAGTACAATAATCTAAACCAACCATTGCTGTTACTGGTTAAATCAAGCTCAATATTAACTGGAATATCTTATATATTTTCGCAGTTTTTTCCGTAACTGTAATGGATAATTTAGTTACCTGTAATCTGACCTGTCATCATGTAATTGGTCTTCTTACTCCAGAGCTGAATCCTGACCATTAAAACCTTCTTCATTAATGTCTGTAAGTTCATTCAGACTCTGTGTTCCTGTTTCCCGTCAGCTGGGTGGGTTACGACCGACACGGGTTCACAGGGGAGCAGTTCATCCTGGAGAAGGGCGAGTACCCGCGCTGGGACACCTGGACCAACAGTCAGAACAGCTACTCCCTCTTCTCTCTAAGACCCCTCAAAGTGGTGGGTGACCCCAAACCTCCCGGCACGCACTATAAAACCTGAACGAGTTAGTTCAACTCAAACAGATAAAAACCTTTTCAGTTTATTAACTCAAGTATTTGTTGTTATGGTGGATAAAATAAGTGAATTGTACAAATTCAGTTAATATATGCAGCAACATATTTAACTTATTTATCTGAATAAATTAAAATATCTTCTTTATACAAATGTTTCCACTTAAGTTGAATTTACTGAATTTACAACTTACAATTAATTGATTATGGTAGCCAATTAATTTTCTGTGGATCAACTAATCTGATTGTTGCTGCTGTAATTCAATTGTTAACTATTAGCTTACTTTATGTGACTCTTTGCACTTTGGAGGATCATTAAGAATTATTTGGATTCATTATAACATTTTTAAAATGACATAAAGTCAATTTAAAGAAAATAAGTCAATGGAACAAACTGGAATTAAATCATTTGAACTTAAAATACTTTACAGATGAAGTTATTAGTTATTAGTTGGGTTTAGTTAAAGTGATTGAGTGACTCCACATTGTTTGGAGGACTCGTTTATTGAGCTTTGCTGTTATGTTTCTCCTCTGCAGGACGGCGCTGATCACAAGCTGCAGCTGTTTGACAACCCCGGATTCACCGGTAGAAAGATGGAGATCGTTGACGATGACGTTCCCAGTTTGTGGGGCCACGGTTTTCAGGATCGTGTAGCGAGCGTCAAAGCTCTCAACGGAACGTAAGCTCGGTCCCTTCGTCCTCCCCTCGCCTCCTTTTCTGCTGTCTTATATGTCGTCTAACTGTCCTCCCCTCCCTGCAGATGGGTCGCCTACATGTTCCCCGGCTACAGGGGGCGCCAGTTCATCTTCGAGCGGGGAGATTTCAAGCACTGGAACGACTGGGAGGCCCCCGCCCCCCAGGTCCAGTCTGTCCGACGTGTGCGGGACATGCAGTGGCACAAGAGGGGCTGTTTCAACGTTCCCGACCCGGCTCCGGCTCCCGTACCCGGACCGGGACCCGAACCCGACCCTGCTCCGGTGCCACCCGCACCGCCTGCCACAGCTGGAGCCAGCTGAGCAGGACCCCCCCCCCAAAACCACCACCACCACCCTGCCTCTATCTAACCACGGCTGCTTGTGCCCAGAGAGGAGGGCCACGTATGTTTCAGTGGCGAATAAAAGCTGTTTTGACCCTGTTTGTTGGTGATGTTTATACTTGTGAGTGGAGCTGCAATCAGAAAGCTCATCCAGCCGAACATCTGGATACACATCTGCTCAACAGCAATGGAAGTGATGTCATACTGTGTGTATGCTTGCTATTAAACCAGAGTGCACCGCATTCCCCTCCATAGTCATCATTGTGCATTGAATGACCCTCACAAACAGCAGCGAACATTAGGAACTAATATTAAATATATTAAACTCTTGTTTATGAGCAGAACTCTGAGTAAACTGATTATATTCAACAACTGATATAAACTGTACAATGAACACAATAACTGCAGGAAGTTTGAGCAGATTATTTCCTGTCATATTAATCAGAGATGAGTTTTTATGATATTTTAGGAACTTTTTATACAATCCTCTTTATTATTATTATTTTTAAGCTTCTTTTTGGACCAATTGAGTGTTTTCTTCGCCCTACTTGGTCGTTCTAATACAGTTTGTGTTCAGGTCATCAGAGTTTAGATATTAAGAAATACAAGAAGTAATGTGATGGGTTATTTTAACTAAAATATATATTCTATATTCTTCATTAAATACTTCTTACTCGTTCTTTTAAAAGTACAAATAAAAAATTCCAAATTAAGTGAATGTTATTTAAGATCACTAAAGCTACTTGATCAGGAATGTAAAATTTCAATGTAGTAGCAGTTTCAACAATTTCTGGTTTTACAGTATATTCTAAACTTTAAAATTAAGATTTTAATTTAGTTTTCTTTGCAGAAATGAACAAAATGTTAAGATATTGATCTACTGTGTATAAATTAAGATCAAGAAAAGCCTTGTGACCCCCATGTTGGGAACCACTGGTTTAAACATACAGTTTCTTTTGTTTGATGAGGTGGTGAAGCAGCGGGGGATCATGGGAGTTGTTGTCTTCACCACCATTGGCGTCATTGCAGTCAGCTTCTCCCGGTTAGGATTCCTTCAGTGTTCATGGTTCAGGAGGTTTCTACCGGGAGCCCAATGATCCACAGAGGTCTCCTCCTCTCCAACACAAACAGACCCGCTGATTAAAACCACTAAACACACTGAATAAAGCAGTTCCACCTTAAACACACTGAATAAAGCAGTTCCACCTTAACAATCACTGCTTCTCCCACGCTGTTGGACAGACAAAGGACGTCCCGGAGGGGCTGCGAGCCGAGCTGCTGCTAACGTTAGCTCAGCTTGTTTCTCTGATAACTTAAGATCCAGACGTCCGATGACTAAAATCCTTCATCCGGTTCAAATCTAGAGTTAAAAAGCACCAAGATCTAAACAGTGGATGGTAACAATGTGGCTTCAGACTGGATCAACAGTCAATGTATGACAGCTTCTGGCAGACAACCACAAGTCAGTCAGGTCTCGTTCCACTGTGTGCCTTATATGTTAAATAAAATAAAAAACAAGCACTTGAATGCACCACAAACAACTCAGTGAACTATTTCCAAAGGTCTACATTCAAAATGTCCCGCCCCTTTTGGGACAGCAGATTAACAGATTATTGATATTCTTCAACTTGAAACTCCAGAAACTCAGTTTAAGCATCAACTTGTCTACAATCTTAAAGAAGCAGTGTGCAGGATTTAGAGGCATCTAGCAGATTGCAACAAACTGAACACCACTCGCGTCTGTATTTGAGAACCTGGAAATGAGAACGGGCTGTGAAGTGTGTAGAGGGAACTACGGTGGCTGTGAGGCCCCATCTAGATCCAGTGTTTGGTTTGTCTTCAGGTACTAATATTACTATTTTCAGGTGATTATACACTAATGAAAACATAGGGACACACACAGAAACAGGCTTATAGCAAAATAACAAACACAACAAGGTAATAATCATTAAATTATATATATATATATTAATATTGTTAACAGGCACAGTGGATGTCTGTTTCACATGTAAATAGCTTAAAGTGCTGTACAAAAGAACATTAAAATATACAGTAAAAAGTGAAAATACCACAAAAAGAATCAACAACAAGAGAAGAAAATACAGATTAAAATATTAGAGGGTCAATGAATAAAAACGTGGCTACAGCCTGTAAACAGAGATGGAGGAAGAGCTAAAAATCTGTACATCATCTGATCATCTGGGAAAACATGATAATTACACAGGAAAGAAATCATCCAGTAGAGCCGACTGTGAATCGAACTGTTCTCCAGCTGTCTTCATCATTCTGAAACCACAACACAACTAATGTTGAAGATGGCTAATTTTCCCCCCTGACACCTAAAAGGAGGCGAACATGTTCTATTTTAATGTTATATAATATAGGTAGTGTAGGAATTTGGACTATAAGTTCACAGAATGAAGGATTAACCTCGTTATGTCCAGGGACTGATGGAGAAATATTCATGAGGTATCCAGAGGGCGGCAGACAATCACATGTATCTATATTTGCCCCCAAATAAAAACATTATTGTAGCACATTAATTAAGCATTGAATAGAAATTAGTGTTAGTGTTTGTTTTATTTCCAAATCTTCAGGCATTTTTCCAAATACGTCTTACAAACTTATATTTCTGAATAGTTCTTTAACACGTTATTTTTTAAAAATGAATATTGTTTAATTTGGTAAATTTAAAACCATGTGACACCAAACTCAGGCGGGCAGCCGCCACCCCAAACCACCCCTCGCGGTCAGCCCCTGAATACACCCACAGTCCATAAGCTAGTTAGCTTGTTAGCAACTGAATAAAACTCGACAAGACACAAAATTAAATAAATAACTTTAGAAAAGCAAATACCATAAAAAATATTTAAATTAATAGCCTGGGCTTTTATTTGCTCCAATCACTGAACTCAACCTGCCTCTATATGAGACAGGCTTCTATATGAGACAGGCTTCTATATGAGACAGGCCTCTATATGAGACAGGCCTCTATATGAGACATTCTTCAGTATGAGACAGGCCTCTATATGAGACAGGCTTCTATATGAGACAGGCTTCTATATGAGACAGGCCTCTATATGAGACATTCTTCAGTATGAGACAGGCTTCTATATGAGACAGGCTTCTATATGAGACAGGCCTCTATATGAGACAGGCCTCTATATGAGACAGGCTTCTATATGAGACATTCGTCTATATGAGACAGGCTTTTATATGAGACAGGCCTTTAATTCCCTTTTTGGTTCCAAGATGAGAAATACAATCAGATTATTTATTTAAACCAGTATGAATAATTACTGAATATCAATTAAAAATCATTAATTTGTTCATTTGATACTTTGGTGCTCGTAGTTTCTGTAAGAAGGGCGGAGTTATTGGATCTAACTTGAGTTTGTGAACTCGCTCCAACAGGCGACCCGGTGGGTTTTAAGAGGTTTTATACGTCCAGAGAACTTCTATAAAATCCAGACCAGACCTATAAGTGAGAAAGTAAAGGAGATCTGCTTCTTATGAAAGTTTTACTACATTATAAATCTGCTGCACCACAAAACATCTAAACTCTCAGTCAGCAGTGAAACACTTTCATCCATTTATATTTAAATTACATTATATTATTTATTGTCTCACGCGTCCATATTCACAGTATCTCCAGTGGATGATATCAGCTTCTGTCCTCTGGCAGGTTTATTGACGTGCACGTGTTGTGTTGCTGCGATTGTATATACTATAATATGTTTATGTATATATTATTGTAGATTTTCTAGACTCTTTCTTTTCTTTCACTGCCTGTTTTCATCCTTATTCATATTTTTCTTGTTCTCTGTTTATCGTTGTGCACCAATATACGAAGGGGAATTCCTTGTATACTCGACAATAAACCTGATTCTGACCTGCAGGATCATTTAAACTGATTAACTGAAGACATATAGTTTGTTTTTTTTATAGTTAAATTGATCTTTAATGAACTTTTTAACAGCTGACAGGAGAAAGAAGTGAACACAGTCTTTCTTCCAAACAGCAGCTGTGACAACATTTCAAATGAAACCTTTCTAGAGTTTTCTGGAAAAAGAAATCTCAAACAAACGTACACTTGTGGAAATATTCAGCAGTATTTGGACTGTTATTCAAATCTCTCCAGCACGGTAAAACCCGTCTTTTACAATCCTTCTCTCCCTCTCTGCCTCTCATTGTAGGTGCGGGACTCTTGGCACTGTTTGTGCTGAATCGTGTGGATATCGAACAATGACTGGCTGCACAAAACTGACAACTAATGAAATAACTTTGTGGGAGTGTGACACCCCAGGGTGGGGGGAGGCTGCAGGGTGACCCCTGATTTCAGCCTGCTGGGCCTATGGCAGGCCGACCTGCGGGCCGGCTTGGACGCTGTGCGGACTGTTGGCAGAGTTTCCACCCCTGGGCGTCCCGTATATATTGAGCCCATCGTGCCATCACAAACACACTGGCACAGACAGGTACTGGTAAGAGGTTCACCATGCTGTGTTTAACAGAGTTTGTTGTTTTAGGTTTGAGCTGTACAAGCTGTATCCCATGATGCAGTGTTGTAACTGTGTTTCCAGAAGGCTGTGAACTTCTGAAGCAGTTTTTAATATAAAAGATATAAAACTTTTTAAACCATGACGATGTTTCTCAGAAACAGTGAATTTGTTCTCTTTTCAGTTTCGTCCTTGCCGATCCGTTCACTATGGCCACAGACCACCAGAACCCTGCATCCAAGCAGCAGCAGCCGGGCGCCAGTGCGTTCAAGGTGAGAGGAAACACAGTTTACTTTCTGCTTGGAGTCCAGGTTAATATAGTCCATTAAAACTTCATTAAAAACTACAACTCGGTGTGAAAAAAACATTTTAGTTCACGGAAATAAAGATGAAAACTCACTGAAATGATATTTGTGTACTTTCAAACAAACAGGAAGTGTTAGTCTTTGTCAGTTTGGTCCAGTTTGGAGGCGTTTGGTGAAAATCACGGCATTTTTTAAGATTCTGGCGGTTTTACGGTATATCACTGTATTTTTGTTTGTTTGCATTAGTGCAGCTTTATATAAGTTTATAGTTTATAGTTGCTCCAGAGCCTTTTAAACCTTTCTGTGCCATCATGTGTGCAGAATATAAACCATTTTCATAGAACTGATAAATTTTTGTGTACGTGTGTTTTTTATTTTATTTCTCTGCATCACCGGGCCTGTATAAAGGTTTATAGTGGCTTATTCTACAAAACCTTTTTTATTTTTACTGTAGAAAATCTAACGTAGTAAAAAACAGAACTTTAAAATAACTGAATTTGTTGAAATTGTTGTATTAACATTAGAAACTGAGAGAAAATGTTCTATTGCACAAGTTAGAAACTAATGAGTTACAGTACAGAACAAGTGCCTGTCAGTTGTCGACGATAGCTGTGTGTTTACAGAGAGAAGCTGTATTTACCGCCTGTACTCCTCCTCTGATTGGCTCTTTCCTCCCAGCTGGTCGTCTATGAGCAGGAAAACTTCCAGGGACGCTGCCATGAGCTGACTGGTCCCTGTAACAACCTCCAGGAAGCAGGCGTGGAGAAAGTGGGCTCCATACTGGTGCTGTGTGGACCGTGAGTGTGGGTCAGAGACGACATACAGAGGGTGGGACAGTGAGGGAGATAGGAAGTAACAAAGTACAAATACTCAAATACTGAAGTAGTTTTTTCAGGTATTTCTACTTTACTCAAATATTTTACACAATTATCTGTAACTTTCTACTGCTTACACGTTCAAAACAGGCTCTTTATTTTAGTTTTAATGCATTTGAGGTGAATTATTGATTTATTTTCTTTATTTTTTTGCATCATTGCTCACTTTCCCAAAATCAAGACTGATGCAAATCACGGATTTAACATGACAGAAACTACAAAAGAGACATAAAGAGGGAGAGTCGACCCTGTTTGAAGTTTCCAGAAAACAAGAGAGTATTTTAGACTTTTATACTTTGAGTGTTTGAAGTTTCAGTCTTCTTTTACTCAACTATTTGTCTTTCTACTTGAGTAAAAGTACTTTTGCCACCTCTGGATGGATGATCACTCTATCTTTCTGTCCTCCTCCTCTTCCTCCTCCTCTTCCTCCTCAGATGGGTGGGATACGAGCAGCCCAGCTGTAAGGGCGAGCAGTATGTGTTTGAGAAGGGGGAGTATCCTCGCTGGGATTCCTGGACCAACAGCAGGCGCAGTGACACCATTGTTGCATTCCGCCCGATTAAAGTGGTAAGAACGAGCACTTTCTACTCAAACCCTCCCTCATCAATCAGTCGCCCCCCCCGTCTGCTGCTTAACAAACCCTCCCCTGGCTTCCCTCCTCTCTCAGGACAGCCAGGAGCACAAGATTGTCCTTTACGAGAACCCCAGCTTCGCGGGGAAGAAGATAGAGATCATAGATGACGACGTCCCCAGCTTTCACGCACACGGCTACCAGGAGAAAGTCTCCTCTGTCCGGGTTCAGAGCGGCACGTGAGTCCATCCTCCCTCCAGATATTGGAGGAAGTTTTCTTAAAGGATAGCAACATTAAACACGAGTTAAAGCTCCAGTGTGAAACACTGAGGACGATCTATTGGCAGAATATTATGTAGTATGTTTTTATTAGTGTATAATCACCTGATATTAGAATAGTTGTGTTTTTGTTACCTTAGAATGAGACGTTTTAATCTACAGAGGGAGCGGGTTCTCTTCTAGTGGCGGAGTCCACCATGTTAAAGTGTCATGTTTCTACAGTAGCTCAGACAGGACAAACCAAACACCGCCGTACTTTCTCCCTCACGTTCGAAAAGGGAGGTTTGAGAGTTGCAATCTGCAGCTACACCACTAGACGTCACTAAATCCTACACACTGGTCCTTTAAAGGCACACTATGCAAGATTTTTACCTTAATATAACAGCTTCTAAGTCATTTCGATGGTAAACAAACTCGTAGTACAGCGAATCATCCCGATAGCAAAGCAGGAGAGGGACGCTGCTGGCAGAACCAGCAATGCAAGTCTGAAAGGTGGCGCCCCGCCAGATCTCGCGAGAATCACAAATTGCTTTACGGCGTGACGTCACATACATCAGCGACATAAGAAGCAGCCTCAATGGAAGACACTAGCAGGCATTCACTCAGACGTTACCTGGTCAGTAGACATCTTCGGAGTCTATCTTTGCCTGTTCAGTGTCCGACGCTTCCATCCTACTGAACATGTACCGGTGTACAGGGGGGAGGGGGTCAGGCCGTGAGTGCAGAGACGCAGAGCCGTATATAGAGACGGCTCTGGTGAGTGGTATTTACGACAGTTAACGTTAAATACAAGTACTCCACAGCGACTCTAGGGGGAGCTGTTTGACACAACCGGAAAACTGCATAGTATGCCTTTAAACAAAGTCTTTCAAATCACTCAGTCCCTGCAGGAAGATGCAACAACTTAATGCTGTCTCTCTCCTTCGCCCTCTAACTGTCTCCTCTCTGTGCTCCCTCTCTGTGCTCCCCCTCTGTGCTCCTGCTGCACCAGCTGGGTGGGCTACCAGTATCCAGGCTACAGAGGCTTCCAGTACCTGTTTGAAAAGGGGGAGTATAAGGAATGCGCTGAGTTCGGAGCCCAGATTCCTCAGATCCAGTCGGTGCGGCGCATCAGAGACATGCAGTGGCACCAGAGGGGTTCTTTTCACCCCGTCAGCTAAGCTTGTGACTCTTTCCCGTCATGAACCCTGACCGCAGCAGCCCCGCTCCCTTCCAGCAGAATCAACCCCCCCTTTGTCCTCCATTTACACCACACAGCATTTTGATATCTGCTGCAGCCGCTGCAGCAGTGACATTCTTTGAAGCAGACTAATAAATCCTTATTGCTTACGTTTGACTTTGGTTGTGTTGTTTGTCCTCATCTTAAAAAGCTTTAAAACACATTAAAAATACATCACAGGTGGATTTAAAGTCGTGTCAGTGACGTTAAAGTATTTATTAATGTCTATAAAAGGAGAATAAAAGCTCTTCAGGGCTGGAAACTGTGTCATGCGCACTGACGCACTCCGGCCGCTGGGTGGCGCTGCAGCCGCTCACAGTCCGCGTCACTTCCTGTTTCCCGGTGAGCTAACGACACATGATGGAAGAACACGCGACTGTTTGTGGTCGTTTAATTTTAATTTTAACGTTTAAGTAAAAAAAAGTTTTATTTTAAAGTGTTTCTCTGCTGTTCTTCCTCCTCTTCTTCGTCGGTTCGTCGGGAGTTTCGGTATGTAAATGTTCACAGTGGGCTTCCGTCGAGCTTCAAACGCGTTGATTTCAGACTTTAATCTTTCTGTTAAACCTGAATTAACTCACTTTATGTGTGTGTTTCATTATTAAAGTCCTTTCAGACAGTTGTGTGAAGGTTGTAGAGTTTTCTCTGTGAACTTTATCCCGAAGAGTTTGTTTTTTCTGATTTTAGAACGAGACACAGAAACATAAATAACCGAAGTTCATCTTGAAAACTGCTAATTAATTCATTAAGCTTAACACAACCCTGTTAGACAATAATTAATCACGTTTTATGAGTCATTTTATTCAAGTCTTTAATTCGGCATTCCTCAAAAACCCATTAAACCACCGATATTATATATATGTATATATATGATAGCCTAAATGTGCTGTGCTTTAATTATATGACTGCTATATGAAGGTTTTATTTAATGTTGTCTTTATAAACTTTATCCCAGTAAGTTTGTTGTTGGATTTTAGAACAAGAAATAAAATCACATCTAACTGAACTGTCGAGGTTCACCTTCAAACTGCTCATTAACTAACTGTTACATGAGCTCTGCACAGTTATGTTAATTAATAACAATAATTAATAATTAATGACGTTTAATGAGTCATTTTATTCAAATCTTTTGTTCAGCGTGACTCAAAAACACATTAAATCACCAATATTATGTAAAATGTCCTGTTAGAGATCAACTGTGATCATTATTCAACTAATTTAATATTCAAATTGGCATCTTTTGAGTTAATTCTGTTATTTTTACAGCAAAAATCAACGACTTCATTCTCTAAAGCACAGATTAAATCATTATTAATATATTTAAACCCCAGGAGCCGGTTTCCTAAAATAACAGTGCAAGATCACGCTCACATTTACAGCTGCAACGATTTAATTAATCATCAAACTGATTTAATAATTGATTATTAATCGTTTGTGTCAAAAAATGTCCAAATTCTTTGATTTCAGCTTCTTAAATGTGAATATTTTCTGTTTTCTTTGGTCGTTTGTGACAATAAACTGAACGTCTTTGGCTTTGGGAAACATTTTTCACCATTTTATTGTTTTTTATGGACCAAACAACTAATCGATAATTATAATAATAAAAAAGATTCATGCAGTCGAAGTTATTTTGTTGTCTTTATAATTCAGATTATAGTTCCCTTCATGGATGATAGATCAATAAGTAAATGAAAGCAGCCTTTAGGTCCGCTGTACTGAAGCTGCTGGTTATTGAACACTAACATTGTTAACCTTTAGAAACTCTTCCTCCAGCAGTCGAGATGCCCGTCCTGTGCAGCAGCTGCGTGGACAAGCGCGCCGTGCTGAAGCGTCCGAAGACGGGCCACTCGCTGTGTAAGGAGTGCTTCTTCTGGGCCTTCGAGGAGGAGGTGCATCAGACCATCCTGGCGGCGAAGCTGTTCAGACACGGCGAGACGGTGGGCATCGCCGCGTCGGGCGGGAAGGACTCCACGGTGCTCGCTCACGTGATGAAGCTCCTGAACGAGCGATACGACTACGGCCTCAAACTCATGCTCCTCTCGGTGGACGAGGGAATCACGGGCTACCGGGACGACTCGCTGGAGACGGTGAAGAGGAACCAGCAGCAGTACGAGCTGCCGCTGAAGATCGTGTCGTACGAGGAGCTGTACGGCTGGACGATGGACGCCATAGTGCAGCAGGTCGGGCTGAAGAACAACTGCACCTTCTGTGGGGTGTTCAGGAGGCAGGCGCTGGACAGAGGAGCCATCATGCTGAAAGTGGACAAGATCTGTACAGGTAACCCTGCACCTGCATTCTGTGTAACGGCCAGCAGGGGGCGGGCTCCATTACCATTCAGTCTTATGGAGGAAAGAGTCGACGTCTCAGTTGATTTATTCCCTCAGTAAACAGTTTCCTGATGAGTTTCTGGTCTCAGTCTCTAGTTTCAGTCTTCTTCCATACAGCATGATGTTCATTTAGTAACTGATGGTCCCATTTAGAGTAAAACAGACCATAAAGCAGGGTATGCTTTAGGGCGGGGCTACCTTGTGATTGACAGCTCATTCTCAGGAGTCACATACCGCAGACGGTCACATCTGCATGAACACAGCTGGTTATTAATGATTACATTAATTGTTAATTGTACGTGCAGCGACACTTTCTACCTCTTCTTTTAATGGCTAAGAGGTTAGAAGATGGATGTACTGTTGTTTATGCTCCAACAGCCAATATCATGTCCAGCACTCTGCGGTGAAATGCTGCCCCCTGTCTGTTCGGAGTTTGAACTACACACTCGTCTTTGGGAGGATTCTTCCATATTGCCCCGTTAATGTTAAATATTTGTTTGTTTCTTGCACAGGTCACAATGCTGACGACGTGGCGGAGACCGTTTTGATGAACGTCCTGCGGGGGGACATAGCTCGCCTGCGCCGCTGCACCGCCATCTCCACGGCCAGCGAAGGCGACGGAGTCGTGCCGCGCTGCAAGCCGCTCAAATACGCGTACGAGAAGGAGATCGTCCTGTACGCTTACTTCAAGAAGCTGGACTACTTCTCCACCGAGTGCATCTACTCGCCCAACGCCTACCGCGGCCACGCCAGGACCTTTCTGAAGGACCTGGAGAGCGTCAGGCCCAGCTCCATAATGGACGTCATCCACTCGGGGGAGAACCTGTCTGTGCGGGAGGGGGTGAAGATGCCGGTGCAGGGGACCTGTAACCGCTGCGGGTACATCTCCAGCCAGGCTCTGTGCAAGTCCTGCGTGCTGCTGGAGGGGCTGAACCGAGGGCTGCCGAAGCTCGGGATCGGCAAACACCACCGCCTGCACGACAAGATCCTCTCGCAGACGCCGCTCACCGAGAAGGAGGAGAGGAAGCTGAGATCCGTCGACTTCTGACGAATATTTATATTTCCTGAAAGACTGAAGATAGATCATGAAATTTTAGAATGAACCACATTTGTTGTCTTTTACTTATTGTGTTCCTTTATCATCCATTAAATATTTATTAAATGTTTCTGTGGAATATTGTAATTCAGTGAAAGCTCTGCAGCATCAGTCCGATCTCTGCTGCGTTAACGGATCCCTCCAGGAGTTAGCAGTGTCGGGTCACTGAGATACTGTGTGTGCTAACAGCTGAATGCTACACACACACACACACACACACACACACACACACACACACTATATATAAGTGGACATGCAACGTGAACCAGGACATGTTGAGTTTTCTGTTAGAGATGTTCAGTCTGAGTCTCCAGCTTCTAGAAACTGCCAGCTGCTACCTTGCATATGTTGATGTGGAGAATATAAGAGAGGTTTAGGAGGTTTTGTTGGGACATTTTCAAAATACAAAAGTCTTTTTTTAAAACACATTTCAGCTCCTGATGGGCTGATTCAGGTTCATTCATTCATTTTGAGGTTGTTTATATGTTTGGACCTCCTTTATAGAATCAATAAAGCTCAGTGTCAGAGCGAGTGTTCAGTTCTTCAGTTGGGTGTTTCTTCTTTGTCAGTTTGTGTTTTTGCTGCTGCGGTTGTGTATTAATCATATAAATGACATTAAAATGAATCATAATCAGCCCTCCAGGAGTTTAAAGGTCCATTGTGTACTGAAATGAAACCCACTCCTATAATGCTGAAATATTGTCTGTATAGCTGATTATTAATGCTTATTGTGCAAATTGACCTGAACTGTCAGTTTCTGAAAGCTGAGGGACCCAAACTGAACATTTCTAACATAAAAGTGAACACTTCGGGTTCCCAGTGTGTCTCCGGTGGCTGGTAAATAGGATATAATGACAGGAGAGGGTGGAAATGTGTCAGAGATAAACAGAGAGGTAGTTTCCACTGCGGGGAACTCTCTGATGTGTTCTTTCTTTATTTTCTGCCACATTCCAATATGAACTATAATTTAATAAATGCATTGTCCTTTTATCTTCTCGTTTCTCTGTTTTTATGTTTTCCATTCGTACATCAGGTTGATTTTCACACAGATGTTTAGTGTGATACAGCGACGAAGTGATGACATTCTTGTCTTCATCAATATACTGAAAACAATGAACTCAGTACTTGGAAGTGGACGGGTTGGTGGAGGCGTACAGCTGCAGTTTGTTATAAAATGTGTGAGTTGTTCGTGTTCTTGTGAAACCGGTGGACTTCGAATCAACTCAACACGACACTGTCGAGAAAGTCACACCTAAACATACCCTCGACGAGTTCACACGGTTTTTTTTTTTTGTCACAGAAATTTCCATCTCATGAATGTTTGTGGTTCGTCTGTTTGTCACTTTAACTTCCCATCAGTCAGAAGAGGAAGAGGAAGAGGAAGATTACTGCTGCCACAAAACCGAAAAACTATAACTAACAATCTTTATTGTTAAGTTAAAACAAGATTTTATTTTTCTCCAGCAAGTAGGTAAAAGAGATGATGTCATCAGTGTGATTTTCATTTCAAAATAAGAGACTTTTGTTACACAGTAAAACTAGTGAAGTGACAGCAGGGTCACTTCAGAAGTGGCCTGTTGGATGTCCCTGGGGTAGATAAATCATGATGTGGTGCCTTCTAGAGCCCCCTACCAGCGGATCAATCACAATTCAATGCTCTCTGGAGTTCCTTCAGTGGATAAACAATAAGTGTCTCTGTGGTTGCAACCCGGACTCTGACTGTTCGACCATGAGTGCAGTTTACAGTCCACTGCAGCTCTCTGTTAAACGCACCTCCCTGTACTGGCCGCTGGATGTCGCTCACCCTCATCCTCCTCACCCTCCTCCTCCTCCTCATCATCATCATCATCCTCGCAGAGTCACCGCGCGCGCTCCTGTGAAGTACACATGCACATATCGACGCGCGCTCCCGAGACTCTCCGGACCAACTTCCAGCAGCAGAAAGTTGAGAGAGGAAAACTGAGAGTTTCCAAAGCGCAGAGGAGCTGAAGCAAACAGCACAGCGACACAGGCCGAAGCCTCACCGCCGACATGGACGATCTGGGTGAGTTACTCGCTTTATGTGGGGGAGACAGAGGGTTTGTGTCCGGCGGGGCAGCGGGGGCAGCAGCGGGGGCAGCAGGGTGGAGGACTCCCAACCAGACTGCATGTTGAAAAAAGAGCGTTTGTGGGCCACCTTACTGTGGGACCGACGGCTGTTTACTGCCTGAAATACCCCACTTCCACACTGTTTCACCCCCCCCCATGTTCCTGAAGGCACCAGCCCGCTGGAAGAAGCTGCTGTTGGGTGAATGTGTGAGCCAGAGGGAGGAGATATTTGGCTGACATTTTGACACCGAGCTTTAACATTACCTCCTCAACTTTTGCCCCCAGGCTGTTCATTCCAGCTTTGAAGTGGTGGGAGTCAACAGGCCTCCCCATTTAGACTGCTCAGTACAGCTCAATGTGAGGCTGATGGAGAGCCTGCAGCACACACACACACACACACACACACACACACACACACACACACACACACACACAGGGCTGTAGGAAGAGTGTGTTATATTGTGCTGTATGTGTAATACTGTCTGTGGGAGTGGGTAACCCTACAGTAACTCTATCTCTAACAACCTGGAGGTTTGTGCTGAAGAGAAATATTTTCTATCATTTAATAAACTCAGGGACATATTTTATAGTCAGAACTGAACAATGAACCCAAACAGTGGAAGTCTGTGTAAGACGAGGGATTTGGGTGAATTTTGAGGAGATTATTTCCTGTTTAGGGAACTTTTTATACAATTCTCTGTCTGAATTATGTATTTATTTTATATTTTAACAATCTTACAGACTTAATAAGCTTCTTTTTTGACAAATTCAGTGTTTTCTTCTCCCTGAAGTAAACTAAATACAATGTTTTTTTTGAATAAAGAAGGCCTCGCGACCCCTCATGAGATGATTTAATATTTAATAGCTTTTTTTTAAAACTAAATCTAACTGACATCACACAAACAACAACAAACATGTTGTTTTTTTTTCTCATTCGTTAAAACTCTTCACAGACTTTAACTTTTATAGAACATAAAGTCTGTCAATCGTAAAGAATTCAAAATAATAATATTTATCTGTCCAGATAATAAACCAAACATTTAATCAAACAACACTTTGTCCTTGGTTGTAGGTGGGAGGAGGCAGCACTCTTCTCCTAGGATGGTGAAGGCATTACGTAGTTCAGTTTTCATGAGTGGAGTAAAGTTAAGTGATGAGCTGAATGTGGAAGAGTAGAGTTATATATCAGTGTTTATAACACGGGGGGATGGGGGGTAACTCTTACATTTAGAGTAAACCCGGTTCTCCAGTAAACCCCTACACCCCTGCAGGAGGAGAGGGGGCAGTTAATGGTGGTTTCTGACCTCGTGCTGTTGTTGCTGTTGTTTTCTGCCCCAGTGCAGACTGCAGACATCAGTCTGATCTGTCTGTATCATATCTGTCTGAACATCACAGCCTTTAATAAATGGAGCTGCTTCCTCATTGCTGACATTAACGTTTGCTGTTGAGACATGACGCATCATTTGTGATTTCACATATTTCTCATAGATTAAAACCTTCAAAAATATGTTTAATATTCATTGTATGTGTTAAAAATGTTAAATAGAAGCCTGTACAGATACACTGTACATATATACTGGATCAAAGTTGTTCAGGAACCAATGGTACCAAAGTACGTCTGCAATATTAATTGAAATATCAGAGTTACAAGATGCTGTACGGTGCAAACATTAGAAGAGGAAGAACAATATAAAACAGTAATAAACTACAAACATTAGAGATAAAACAGTGAATAACAGTGTAAAACGAAACAGGTGAGTTTTGAGCTCTGTGTGTGTGTGTGTGTGTGTGTGTGTGTGTGTGTGTGTGTGTGTGTGTGTGTGTGTGTGTGTGTGTGTGGAGATAATGAGGGGAAGGCGGTTCCAGACAGTGGAGCCACACCTGCAGACTCAGTCCACTTTGGTTTCAAGCCGAGGTTCTGGGACCGCCAGCAGGCCTCGGTCAGTAGATCTCAGAGACCTGGGCGGAGCAGATCGAGAGGTTTTACTCTTCATCCTTTTATTCTCTGTCGATCTGATCTTCACTGTACGTTTCCTGACAGATTGACACTTCACTGCTGTCGCTTCCTCCGCTCCGCTCTGGTGTGGTTTTGCGGGCTGCCATATGTGAGGGAATTTAAAAAAAAGGCTGCTGTTGATGGTAGCTCGGTTATTTAAACATGCAGGGTTTGTGCAGGATGTCCCGTGCAACCAGTCGGTGGTCTGCGGCGCTTTCACTTCCCCTTTTAGCTTCAGCTCAACTCTCTTCAAACCTCGACGTCGAGGTGCGACCAAAAAGCGCCAGAGAGTCGCACAGCAGCATTTGCAGGATGTTGAAGGCGTACTGTCTCTAGCTAATAACAGAATGCTTGTAATAACTTGCGAACAAGTGGGAGAAAATGCTAATGTGCAGCAGTTAGTTAGGGGAGGGGTAACAGGCTAAGACTGGCTCCAGTTCGCCATCGAGACATGATTTCAGACCCGCCCACAGTTCAGTACTACATAGTCCAGTCTTTTATAATGTTTATCTAATATAATGTGTCTGAGTTTCCTTCACAGTGACTTTAACTCAAAGTGATATGATCTGAGAATATCTTTGAATCCAGTTAATTTGTGGAATGTTAATCAACTGATCAATCAGCTGATCCTCTGAGCACTACTTCCTGTCCTGGATCCGCTACTGGCATCACTCACAGTCGGTATAACGCACACTGACCGGGCAGCTCCATGCAGTCTATCAGCTCCATCTATTTTTTGTGCCTCACTAACCGTTCACCCCTTCAGTTCATCGGCCCTTGACCTTTGGCATCGAACCTGTGAACTTCTAATTCTGTTGTTGTAGTCTCCCCAGCTGCTCACTTTGCTATATTTGCCGTGCTGATTCAGATTGAGCCGCAGTATTCGCAGGGATGCTCCCGTCGTTCCGAGCAGACAACTGGATCTGTGAACGCTTTAAGTGGAGAGACGATGGGCCGCGTTTTGGGTTTGGCGTGCTGTGAGAATACCTCCGGGGCCCGTTAGATGCTCGAGCTGCCACGGCCCGCTGAAAGAGCTGATTGTTGGTTGAGAGGCAGTCTCGGTGAAGCGAGGCTGAAGGAGGGGGGCGAGGCTGCTGAGGAATGTCCAACATCGCTCTGCGTCAGGGTCCAAGGCCAAATACTCTCTGGGTCGTGACTCACCTCCTACCGCCGCTCTCAGCCCCGTGCGAGCTGCCACCAGAGGGAGGGCTGTCGGTTGCTCAAACACGGGTCTTTGAGGTCTGGTAGCCTGACAGTCACAGAACCGTGAAGTTAGACGGTTTTCAACTGCTCGTGATGTGGCCAACCCCTCCCACGTCCTCCCTAAATGTGCAGCAGCAGACCAAATATTTGACTGTACTTCCAGTAAACCCCCATCTTACTGGCCCCCTGCGGGTCCTTGTCTTAAGGCTCATTGATGACTGACAGGTCTACACGGAGCTGTTTGGAAACCTGATCAGACTCCAGTCTTTCCATCCTGTTTCATTCTGTGTATATTGATCTGCCAAACACTCGAGGAAGGGGATTCCCTCGGCATAGAGTGAGCGCTCTTCCCCTCCGCTCCTCTGACTCAGAGTTTTCCAGGGGATTTCTCTGATCCGTCTTTTATAGTCCGGACCAGGTGGCGGCCGAGCTGAGCCTGGCTGTCGTTGTGCTCATCCAGATGTGGCTCACTGTGTCTCACGTTTGTGTCGCATGAAGCTCCGCTCTCTTGTGAATTCCTCAGGATCGTGTGAGATTCAGGCTGACTGACCTCGCCGGGCTGCAGAGGCCCTGCTTCGTGTCTGCAGGTTAACACTGAAGAAACTGGATTAGTCCAGACCTGCATTAAGCTGGAGGGTCATGCCTGAAGTGAGATAACACTGGAGCATGATGAACTCTCTATTGGGTTGTAAATTCCCACCAAACTGGCTGTTTGCGGAATCAAATCCAGGGCTCCAAGGGGCTCCAAGGGGCTCAAAGGGGCCCTAAAAACCTCGGGTTCACGGTGATTCATATGTGTTTGGTAATATGCATTAAAACACAACATAAACTGGAATTTTAAAGGTGATTATATATGAAATTCACTTTCCAGCATCCCAGACAAGCAAAGGCTAACCAGACTCCTTTTACAAAACCAGTAATTTTACCTAGCAGATTATAGATAAGACACTTAAAACTGGACTAAAGCAGAATAAAACTCACTCTTTGTTGGTTGGTTTAGTTGAAATAAACACTTAATTCACTGAGTTAGATGAGAAAGTAGCTGTTAAACGGGCTGTTATGTGACGAATGTGTCGATGGAAGTCCACTAACAGTAGTTGTTGTTTGTTCCACTGACAGTAGTTGTTGTTTGTTCCACTAACAGTAGTTGTTGTTTGTTCCACTGACAGTAGTTGTTGTTTGTTCCACTGACAGACTCAGGTTGTTATTGTCAGTGTCTGACAGCATTATGGAAAGGATCCCTACAGAGATAGACCTTTAGTTTAACCACAAACAGCCGTAATATCACTATCACTCTCCACCAGACTCCAGAGACAAAAACACTCATTTTACCTTCAGATCATTGTAACTTCATTCAAAGTGAACAGAAACAGAATAAAACTGATTAAAAGCGTCTCTGTTAGTGTTTCCAACAATCACCAACTCTGGTTTGGTGGAAATAAATCCTTAATTCACCGACGTAGATGATAAAAACAGCAGTTTCAGTCGGAGCAGACCGGCTATGGAAACAACCCACAGAGAGGCTGCGATACAACACAGGCAGAGGGAGAGAGACATCATGTGACTCTGTCTTTACACAGAGAACAGCTGATATATTAAGGTCTACCTTTAGTACCTTAACGTAGGTGACTTTATTTGTACCTGTAGGTAGATTCAGTTTGCAGTAAAAGACTCTTGACATAAATATTTTACCAACAAACAGACAAACGTGATCCGACATTATAGAAGATAAAAGATTAAAGGAACAGATAAAAAAG